GCACTGCCACGGGTGCATCCGAGCCACTGTTTTTTTTTTTATTATAACATATGCTATAATTAAGCAATATCACAGAGCAAGGGAGCTGTTTTCATAAATATGAGCACGACTGCAAATGCGATAGTGATTTGTTTTAAACAAGTAGTTAATAATAACTTAAATTACTGTTTCACCAGTGAAAATAATTCCAAACCAATCCACAGATGAACTGTTTTGTTACCAAACGAATCAAATGATTCCATGACTCACTCATTAAGGGATTTTTCCACTACCTACTGATGCTTTTACTTTCATATTTAAAAGTAACATTTCATTTTTCCATAATACTTCTATATTAAAATGTTTATATATATAATACAGTAATCGTATAATAATATTTACGCAGTGGTAATTATAGTGTAAATTATCAGTGCATGTCTAAATGTGTATCTTTCAGATGAATTTGACGAGTGCTGCCTGGTCTTGTTCTTGTTCTGGTCTGGATTATCCTGTGGTCTGGACTCTGTCTTGTTTTCAGGAACAGTAGCTGAATGCCAGCAGTTTCGCTCTCAGCTGCAGAACCGTGACGCAGCGCTGCGTGTGCTCCGGGCCCGACTGTACCAGAGCATCATGGGACGGCAGACAGCGCAGACGCACGCCGCACGCAGACAACAGGTGAGTTACCTGTCAGATCAAACCAAATACTACAAACGACCCTTTACTGCAGTGACTTTAAACACTTCATAATGACGTTTAATAACATGAACAGGCTTTATTACATTGTAAATGTGTTTGTGTCTCAGGTCGGCACTCGATCTCAGTCGGAGAGAATTCGCACGTATAACTTCAGTCAAGATCGTGTGACGGACCACAGGATCGGTTATGTGACGCGTGACATCAAGGTAACGGGACAGGGGGCGCATCTGAGTTTTGTTTGGAAACACAGTTGTTTAGTTCCATTTGGATCCATTAATACTGTGTGTGTGTATGTGTGTGGTGTGTGTGTGTGTGTATATCTGTGTGGTGTGTGTGTGTGTGT